CCTACTGAGGCAAATGCTACATTTCTCAAGTGTCTAATTTAAGTCTGTTTGTTTTGCTGTTTGGTCCACTGAATAGTTGAGAAGCCTTGAAAAAGGAAATTGAATTCTCTGGGCATTGGTTTCCTCATCCGTAAAATAAGGATTTTATGGTAGATGATCTCCGAGCTCTTTTAGATTTAGAAATCTTCCTTTATAGAAGGAAAATCACACACTTTTCCTCATAGTCATGAGTCCTCATCTAGCTTTATAAAGTATTTACAAATAACTTGACAATTAAAGATGAAAACTTCTGGCTTTGTGTCTCAGGGCTCTTTTTCCACTGAGTTCAGTTGGAGGTAATTCTTATCAAGTTACTGAGTATTTTTTTCTTTGCAAATTCTACATAAACATAATTATTAAATTATATTTGAACAGTTTCTTAAAGATTGTTTCCATATAAAATTGGAGCAAATAGTATTTTGTAAGTAGTACCTTCTAAGTATATGATTGCTTATGGCTTTTGGGGTATGATCATAGGATTAATCAGAAAAAAAATCCTGTATTCTTTGTAGATCTGAAATAGCATCTGAGAGTTATAAAAGCAACTTCTAATATAACTTTGATACTTGGAGGCATTTACTTGAAATTCCCATTTCTGTGATTTTCAAAATGTTTCTGAGATGTTTGTTACCCAACACATTCTCACAAAGTTCCTTTGAGAATAAAATTGAAAGAAGGTTGAGCTACCCATTCTCCACAGGCAAAGCCAAGGCAATGACAAAATGAATGCAAAGAGTTTCCAGAACATAACCGTTCAACATCTGAGCTTCTGTTGAGTTCTAGGACTGGTGTTATTCATTTGTTCACCTTCATTCATTCATTCATCCAACACTCATTTGTTCATCCACTTATCAGGCAGATACTGATCTATGGTGGGTCATGTGGAGGCTTCAGGGATGTGATCACTGGAATTCCTTCAAGAAAAGTGCATTGAGATGTCCAAGGATAAATCAAAGGGTCCTTGGTATCATTGCTAGCCTAGTCTAGCTCTTTTCCTGCCTCATAGAGGAAATATTTTGTGGAACTGTGCACCTAATTGAAACCATATGTCACCGCTCTTAGTGTTTCCAGACAGTCAGATCAGCACCAGCTGCACAATGGAAAGTCTACACTCTTAATGTTTTTCTCTTTATTGCCAGGCAGGGTTTAAAGAAGACTAAAATCTCACGAGTAGTTGTGGAGTCCGAAACACTTTTAGATATGGGAACTGAGTAAGAAACTGGGAACTCACTTACTTGGAAGGTAGGAAAAGTGAAGAAAGAAGGAAGAGGAGGAGGAGATCAGCACCAGCTGCACAATGGAAAGTCTACACTCTTAATGTTTTTCTCTTTATTGCCAGGCAGGGTTTAAAGAAGACTAAAATCTCACGAGTAGTTGTGGAGTCCGAAACACTTTTAGATATGGGAACTGAGTAAGAAACTGGGAACTCACTTACTTGGAAGGTAGGAAAAGTGAAGAAAGAAGGAAGAGGAGGAGGGGGAGA